GAAATGATCTTACATATGGAAAACCCTGTTGCTTACCTGTAAAAACTATTAGCACAAACAAATCAGTTCAGTAAAGTAGCAGTACACAAAGTCAACATAGAATAGAAGTTGGTTGTGAAAAAATAATTTTTAAAAAAACTAAAAAAATTGTGTTTTTATACACTTAAGGCTAAGTATCCAAAAACAAAGAAAACAATCCTATTAGTACAAAAGCATCAAAAATAAAATATTCATTAATAAATTTAACCAGGGAGATGAAAGGTGTGTATGCTCAAAACTGCAAACCTTAGACTAAAGGCATAGCTTAGCGGTGAACATTTGTCTGGCCCCTATGAAGAGGCCTGGATTAAATTCCCAGCTCTATAAAGCCAAAAATAAACTATAAAAAGCTGGCAAACAGAATTTAATGAAACAGATATAAATGGGAAGACCTCCCACATTATTTGTGGTTGAGTCCTATCAAAATATCAATGTCATCTTTCACAAAAAGTGTGAGTGGAGGGGTCCTAAAATGCATATGGAACCATAAAAGATCCTGAGTGCCAAAGCAATCTTGAGCAAGTAGAAAACACCTGGAGGAATTATGCTATCTGATCTCAAAATATAATTCAAAGCTACAATAATGAAACTAGTAGAGCACTGGCATAAAACAGACAGAATACAGAGCCAATAACTAAATATAGATACTTATGGCCAGGTTATTTTTTAAAGGGCCAAGAACAAATAACAGAAAATAGTGTTGTGAGAAGGAAGCTCATGTGAATAATTGAGCTACACCTTTAGTTTCCACAAGCCTCAGAAGTCATAAAACCAAGCCTTAAGTCATGATCTCAGCCTATTAAATTCCTTATTGAAGACACAGATTTAAATTTGATTCCTTAATATTCACCTAAATTGTAGATTCTTTTTCTCAAATATGATCCTAAAAGCACCAATGACAAAATCAAGCAAAGACAAATGAGATTGTGGGTTCCACAAAGCTTCTGCTCAACAAAAGAAGCAACCAAAGGATTAAATTGACAGCCCACAGAATGACAGAAAGACAATGCCAACTCTACATTTGATAAGGGGGTTGTATACCAAACACATAAGGAACTCAATACAAGAAAACAAATAACCCATTTGAAAAATGGGCAAAGTACCTATATACCTAGATATGGGGGAAAGATTCAATATCACTAATAATCAGAGAAATGCAAATCAAAAAACATCCAAGATAAAAATGATAAATTAGACTTCATTGTAATTTATAATGTTCCTCCAAAGACATGATTAAGAGAGTGAAATCGGGCTGGAGAAATGGGTCAGCAGTTAAGAGTATATACTATTCTTGAAGGGGCCTGAGTTCAGTTCCCAGTACACACTTCAGGCAACTCACAACTGTGTATATCCATATCCAGGAGAATATGATGCCCTCTTCTGGACTCCATGGTTACTGCACCATTTATGCATGCTCATACTCTCTCTCTCTCTCTCTCTCTCTCTCTCTCTCTCTCTCTCTCTCGGTTTTTTGAGGCAGGGTTTATCTGTGGCTTTGGAGGCTGGAGCTAGCTCTTGTAGATCAGGCTGGTCTCGAACTCAAAGAGATCCGTCTGCCTCTGCATCCAGAGTGCTGGGACTAAAGGTGTACGCCACCACTGCCCGGCTTGCATGCCCATACTAGACAAACACAAACTACAGATAGATAAATAGATAGATAGATAGATAGATAGATAGATAGATAGATAGATAGATAGATAGACAGACAGACAGATAATTTTTTTGTTTCTTGGAATAGGGTCTCACTCTGTAGCCCAAGCTAGGCCTAAATTCACAGCAATCATCCTGTCTCAGTCTCAAAAGTGCTGGGATAGTAGGCACAAACAACTCACAGCCCAAATACTTTATTTTAAATACTCCTACAGGTCAATAAGAAAGAAGACAGACAACTCAATTTTTCAAACTTACGAAGGTTTGAAGAGTATTTTGTATAAAAAACAAAGAATGTTAAGCATTGTAGTCATCACTGATCATGAGAGAGATGCAGCTATGAATCACAATGAGCCATGACTACACCTGCATCAGACTGGAAGGACTAAAACCAAAATAACTGAAACTCCAATTGAGATTTCATGGAGTAAGTGCCATGGCTTTGGTAAGTGCCTCCCCTCCCCACCAAAAAATGTCCTGAAGGCTTAGTCCCCTAACTGTGACACTAGTACAAGGGGGTGAAAACATCTAGTGGATATGGACTAATAGAAGGAAATTAGGTCATTTCAGCTGCATCCTTGAAGAGACTACTGGGATCCCAGAACCTTCCAGTCTCTGGTTCCTGACTACCATGAGGTGAAAGGGCCTGTTCTGCCACTTGCTTCCACTATAATGAATCATGCTATCATAGGCCCAAAGCAATAGGGTCAAATGGCCATAGATTGAAGCCTTCAAAACCACACACTGAAATAAACTATTTTTCTATATTTTTTGTTGTTGCTGTTATTTTTTCTGAGATGGGTTCTCATTATGTAGCTCTGGGTATCCTAGAACTCACTTGTTGGACAAGGCTGGCCTTGAACTCATAGAGGTACACCTGCCTCAGCTTCCCAAGTGCTGAGATTAAAGGTGTGAACCACTATGCTCAGCCTATTTCTTCTCTTAAAAGTTGGTTTTCTCAGGTATTCTGTCACAGTAACAGAAAACTGACCAGCACAGTTCCATGTGTGTTTACTGGGAGATGGTACCAAGGAATGATTATTGTTAGAACTGTTCTGTTCTGCTCTAGGATTATAGGCACATATGTGTATATAAAGCCTTCTAGCTGTGCACCTAATATTATGTACTCCACTGTAAGTTATGTTTCAATAAGGAAGTAAACAATAAATAAAAGCATTATCTAGAATCTTTTCTTCTGTGTTCATAGGTGAGAGGCATTATAACTTTCTTTTTTGTATTAACTTGCCTTTTGGGGGAGTCAAAATTACCAAAGCCTCAAAAACACAAGCTGGGCAGTTTGCATCCATACAAGTCTTTTTGAATAGTGTGAGAACCTGCAGAATCATTGTAAGTAGCAATTCAATAATGACTGAGTGAATACTGAGTAACACAAATTTCTCAAGTATTCAGGTCCAATCTCAGCAAGGCCATAGACATCTGAACCTTTCATGTCACACTGGAAATCACGTCAATCTGGCATCAACAGAACAAGCTTAACATCCTAGATCTGCTTTGTTTTGGAAAAGTGTAAGAGGGAAAAGGGGTTCTGGATGTGGCTAGCAATAGCAGGTAATAGACATTAACAAAGGGTTATGGATCATATTCTGAAAGGGACTGAGATGAAAATAAATAAGGATTCATTTGTATTTGACTTTTAGCCTAAAAGGGAATATTAAATAAGTTCTGTTCAATTTCAATTCTCTTTCATTGTGGCACATTTACTGCACTCTGAATTGTCTTTAATTAAAAAAAGATGAAATAATGTCAAAACACTGGTACTGAATCCTGAAATGATGATATAGATGCCCTGCTTTAATAATTTTGCCACAAGTTTCCAAGTCCCAACATAAATAAAGTGTGGTGTTTAAACACAACTGAAACGTGTGAACAAAGCACCATATTTTATAAGTTTAAGCTCCTCTCAAGCATAAGACTTTGAGTGGCAAACTTCCAAAGAAAGTTCAGCAGAATTGGCAAGGCATGCTAGAGTGGTGCCAGGGCCCTTCGCATTGCATTTAATCACAAGAACACCACAACGAAGAAAACGTTATCCCTATTTATTTACAAAGAACTTGGAGTAAGAGGCTAAGTAGCTTGTGAACAATCACATGGCTGGGAAACGTATTCCACGATGTGACTCAAGGTCTTTCCTCCTTGAAGGCCCACCCACTTTCCACTTACACCAAAAAGATGGCATAGACTCCCACTTAATTTGAAAATGAATTGGTGAAAGTTACAAAGTGTCCCAGAGTAATTAGAGCCATACAACTCTGGCTGCAAGGGGCACATCTGCATGTCATCCAAACATCTTGTGGTTTTTGAAGAATTATCTCTTTTCCCAGGATGAGCAAATACCAGGCCATGACATGCTATGCATCTTCCAGAAGACATCAACATTTCCCTTGTTTCTTCATTTCTCCAACTGTCAGACATAATGAAAACAGATATGGCTTACGAAGACCGGCTTTTTTGTTTCCAACAGAGTCTATTAACGCTTAATTGACAACCATAAGATGATTAAAAATTAAAGAATGATAAAAGTTAAATGTTTTCAATACTTTCAGAGAAACCACAGGTACATGTAAATCATGGAGATAAGCGGGGAAGGACAGCTGTTTAATGGAAACTTCCATCCCACAATAAATCAAGTGAACCAAACGTGGAGTCTTCCTAACGTGGCAGCAATTTGAAGCTACTTCAGTTGTGTTCACACTAGCATTGCCCAGGGATGGCTGGTCCAAAGGAGGCCAAACTTGTGGCTGGAGAATTATGCAAGTATCATCATGTCATGGCCCTAGGAGCATCACAGAGGGGTTTCTGAGGAGGAGGACATGAGAACTCAACCCTGGGAACTCTTAGTCTGATCAACACACAAATCACTTAGCAATCATTATCATAATTACTGCTAAATTATTGTTGCACTGGGGGATAGAAGGAAGGTCTATTTTTGCACTCTGGTTTCACCAAAGCTTCCAAGATGACTATTTTAATTTTCAGAATAAATAATTTCCTTTCCCACGATTATCTCAGAGAAGCCAAGCCTTCCCTTGTGACTTTTATTTCTAGTTCTCTAATCAAAATTTTGAGTGGCCTTGGGCAAGGCATGGAAGTGCTCAATGCCTTAACTCCTTCAGTTGCTAAATAGCAATAATGATACCTACTTTCCACAGGCCAGAAGACTGATTGCTTAAGATTGCTAAATATTTTGAAAAAGCAATAGCTAGTGGGGGGAGTGACTGCAAACAACAACACTGAGTATCTCCTTTACCTCTTCTCAGGATCTTTTCCATTTTACTCTGCTTTTTTTTTTTTTTTTGAAACCAGAACGTTTTATTTTTATGACTGACTGAAATCCTCAAGATGAACTGGATGCTGCAACAGCTGCCCTCTTGGGTTTAAGTGCTGTCCCTTCACGGAATCCATGTTTGAATCTTCGATAGACAATTTTTAGGTGCCTCATCCGCCCAGTCCCGGTAGTGTTTCGCCTCTTAGCCTTGGCACTCCAGTTATACTTTCTCTTTCGCTTAGCAGGTTAGCCACATTTGCCTCAAGTGGACTTCTGAAGGTGGTAGGCCTTAGAGCCACAGCGGCGCCACAACGTGTACGTCATATTGCGACTCTTTCCAAAGGATGATGTTCCTTTCGTCATCTTGCTTCTGCCGCCGAGGCCAAAGAGACCAGAAGAACTTTACTCTGCTTTTTAAAGTCCCTCAATTCCTTCCCATTTCAGAGCTTACCTATTCTGAAACCAGAGTGAAGTTGACTGCCCTGCTCTGAATTCATCCATTAAATGTCAACATATCCTCGTGTCACAAGCATCCCTTCCCAGGAAAGGATAAGAAGTCCAGTCTGCCTTGGTGCCACAGACTTGCCAGTGCATAACACAATGCCTGGCATATGAAAAAACGCATTAATAGTTGTTTCATTTATTTGTTCACCGAACATATTTAGAATCTAGGAAAATTTATTTAATCACTCCCAATTTCTGTTTTTCATATGTATCCCTTCAGTGTAAGATTTTAGGGTCATGACTAAGGCATGAGCATCTTCACATTGAACTTAAACTCCTTTGTCCTTTCATTTGGCCACTTAACTACCAAGATCACTATGGTGGCCAACTTTATACATCCTTAGCTGGACCAAAGTGTCCAGATACTAAGTCAAATGATTTTCTGAGTGCATCTGTGAGGGAGTTGCAGGTGAAATTAATATGTAAATTATGAGCTCAGAGCAAAGCAGACAGACCTTCCTCATATAGGTAGTCTCTGGTCCATCCAGAGCCTAGACAGAACAAACAGCTCAACCACCCCCAAGAGAGGGCTCTCCAGCAGATAACCACTGGCCTTACCCGCAATGTGAGCTCCCGATTGTTCCTCAGCTAGGACAGACAAACAGTCAAATTCAATTAGTTTCATTTCTCTTGAGAATGCTATGTCCATTACAGTGGCTCTTCCTATTACAAGAAAGCAGTGGAGCTCCACTCCAAACCCAAATGGGTGGATTGAGAACCCCAATTAGGATACTGAAGAAAATTGAGTCTGGGTACCTGTCTAAGTCAACCAACTCTACTGCAGCCTGGCCAGGTTCAGTCATGATCCTCTCTCCTCTGTCCACCAACCTCTGGACTGGAACTGAGCTAAGACAGATGAGCTAGGAGTAGTCCTTGGGCAGTCCGTGGGTAGGATTCAGCTTTCCACCTCACTGCTTGCTTAGATTGCCAGAGATCTTGCAAGGTTCCTTCCAAACTCCAAAATGCTACCCCTCAGCTTCAGCCCAGAGCAGTAGTCGGTTCCAGTGCCCACAACTACCCTAGGAACAAAATTCTACTAACATGCATTTGAAGCTTTCTTTCTATTGTGGATTCTCCCTCTTCCCCCATTCTACTGTTCCCCTGGACTAAAGGGACCAGACCCTCACCTAGCCCCCTGCTTTGGCAGCCATAACAGGCTGCAGAAAAGACCCAGCAAGAGGTAGCCTCTGACTCAGCAACATATGCTGAGCCCCCAACCTTGCCCAACCTTGTCCTAGTCACTAGGTAGCCAGATGTCCTCCATGTGGCAAGGAACCAATTAGAAGTTAACTGTCAGGCTCTGGATGCGCTTTATGGGAATAGTGGAATATAGGATGTAGCAACTGCCCTGGCAGGGCCTCCAAGCATAGCCTTCCCGGGAGGGTCTTCCTGCAACTGCAGCTGACCAATCAACTCAGGACAGGTTGCCCAAGCCCAGAAGTGCACATATCTTGAGACTGTTGGGAACCCCAGACACTCCCCTTGTTTTACCCTAATATATTCCCTGCCCCACTGTCCCTCCTGATCCCTGCCTGCTTCACCCACTGTGTCGGACAGAAGAACAACTGAGTTAACTCATAAAATTAAAGACTCTTTGCTTTTGCATCGGATCGGGTCTGTTGGTGATTTGGGGGTTCAAAGTTTGGGTACAACAGGACAAAGAAGTGCCTGCAGCATAAAAAGTACATCTCCAGAAACTGCCATGAGTAGACTCTCAAGGATGCAAAGCTTAATAGAAAACGCATAGTTCAGAACACTGCTAACAGAATAGTGTTGTTTTTATACTACAAAGATGCAAATGTTTACATATACAAAATATTTCATTTTTTATCAAAGAATGAAAGATAGGATAAGCCACAAACTAGTATAGTTGGTGAGTCACCTTCCTGGGAACTGTTTTAGGTTCCTTGTTAGTAGCTGCGAGAAAGCACTCCGACAAAAATCAACTTAGGTAGCTGGAGAAATGGCTCTGCAGTCAAGCATGCTTGCTACTCCTCCTACTCTTCCAAAGGACCCAAATCAGTTCCCAGCAGTCATATCAGCTCCAGGGGATCTGGCGCCCTCTTCTGGCTTACACAGACACCTGTACACATGAGGCACACACACACACACACACACATACATACACACACACACACACACAGACACACACACACACACACACACACACACACACACACACACACTTTTTAAAAAAGGAACTTAGGGGAGAAAGGTTTCATTTTAGCACATAACTCCAGGTTACATTCCTTCATTGTAGAGAAAATACAATGACAGGAGCATGAGAAAGCTGGTCATAGCCAAGAGCAGAGAAAGAAAGGCATGAATGCTTGTCCTAACTCCCTTGTTCCACTCTGACATAGTCTATGACTGAACCCAGGACATATGTGGCCTGTCTCATCTCAATTAACATAATAAAGATAATCCCCCATGGATATGCCCATAGGACAACCTGATTTAGACAACCTCTCATTGAGATTCTCCTTCCAGGGAATTCTAGGTCATATCAAGTTTATAGCTAGTATTAACTAGCACAAGGATGGGGGCACACTGGAAGCTTGAAAGCTAGAGGAATAGCTATGAAAATACCTTGCTTGGTAACTTTTACTTTGGAATGTGTAATTGTCTTACATAAAACTTTCAAAAAATGTTTAAATCCTTAAAACTAACTAAAACAGAGTGAAAATAACTTGAGTATGTGCATACATGCTAAGCATGATAGTGAATACCTTTAATTCCAGCACCAGAGAAGCAGAGGTAAGCAGATCTCTGTGAGTTTGAGGTCAGTCTGGTCTACATTGAAGTTCCAGACAGAGTTACCCAGTGAGACCCTGTTTCATAAACAGCAACAACAATAACAAAAATCTCCTTCTTGGAAATTGGCCTTAGAGGCATTGTGCCTTCTAGGCAAGTATTCCGCCCCTCCCAGACCTTATTATCAGGTTTTTAAATATACATATATATATTAGTTGAAATAGAATTATATCACTTTCCACCTCCCTTTTCTCCCTCCAACTCTCTCAGCTACTCTTTCTCCAACTGCTCCTATGCCCTTCCACTCTCAAGTTGATAGCTTCTTTTTCTTTGATTATTATGATTACACACATGTATATGAATATATGTATGTGTGTATATGTGTATGTATGTGTACAAACATCCTAATGAATCCATTTTTATTGTTTGTGTATCTCTAGTTTCAAAGCTGACCACTCTGCATTGGACAACCAATAAGGAGGCTCATGCCTACGGTAGGATAATTCTCCTCCCAGCAGTAGTCTGTAGAGTTTTTTCATTTTGTTCTGGTTTGGTTTGGGTTTTGTTCTGTTCTTGTTTTTTGGAGATAGGGTCACTCTACATATAGTCTTGTCTGTCTTGGAACTCACAGAGATACACCTGCCTCTGTCTCCCGAGTGCTGGAATTAAAGGCATGTGCCACCATGCCCAGCTAGTTGCCTGTATGGGGGGGGGGGGTCTGGTGGTGGGAACTTGTGAAATTTCCTCTCTCTACATTACCATGTCTATTGATAGAGGGTCTGGTATTCAGGCTGGCCTTGTTATATTCATCTGCCTGACAGTCCTGAGTAACTGGGATTCCAGGCTTGTACCACTGCATCCAGTCCTATTCCTATATTCATTCTGTAAGAACAACAACAAAAAGGCAATACAGAAGTCATGAAACAAAAGGCTAATGTGACAATTCTTCCATAGTGAGAACATTCAACAAAGTAAAGCTGGATAAAAAGTGGGGGTGTCTATGACAGCTGCTCTGTCCCTCAGTTTGAAAGGGAAGGATCTAATTTTTAAGTCACATTTTAAACCTATCAAAGGATATAAATCCAAGAATAAATATATCCCTTTACCAGAAGCTTGTCTAATGCTTTTTAAAATTATTTTTAGATTATTTTATTTTACACATAAAAGTGTTTTGCCTGCATGTATGTATGTGTACCATATGTGTGCCTGGTGCCACAGAGGTTAGAGGAGGGCATCAGATCCTCTGGATCTGAACCACTTTTCGGAACCCTATCTAATATTTTTAAAAATATTAAAATGCAGGTTGAACTATACCTTAGTGATGTAGTGAATACCTGTTATTCTCAAAGTTCTGAGTTCAATCCCTAGTACTACATATACAAAATTAAGAAAATATATTGGCATCAGACTATTCATAGACCCATGGCATACATGGCTTAGTGGGTAAAGGCACTTGCTGCCAAGGCTGATGAGCTGTAGGATAATCCTTTTGTATGCTGTGAATATGCATTACTCTCATTAGTTAATAATAAAGCTAACTGACCTATAGCAAGGCAGGATAAAGTTAGGTGGGATAGTCAAACTGAAGACTTGGATGAAGAAGGGCTGAGTTGAGAGACACACAGTTTACCCTATAGTCCATTCATTTATATTTGCAAGTGTTAATTGTCACAAGTCATTGGTCTGGCTCCCAGGCCTCTAGCTTCTGTTATACCACCAATAACGGACTCTCACTGGGGCTTCTCTTGGATATCCTGTTGTCCTGTATCATGAAGATTCTGCTGTTTTTGATCTGTAGGTTGGTCCCCTTCACTTGCTCCAACAATTGATAGATGAGATGGATGTTGGTATGGGACAGTTCATTACCCTGGTTATGGGCCTGGGTGGTAGCAACCTGCCAGCTTTCCCTCATCCTCACTACCCAGGTGAGCTCTCCAGCACTGCCTCAGCTAGCACACCCAATGCAGTCTGCAGCAAGGAATGGGACCAGTTCTCCTGCTCTCCAGGTCCTCAGATCTGGGTCACCCACACTCACACCACCAGGGCCAGCTCTACTGTTTGTCCAGGCAAGGTGCAGGGCCCTCTCTCCAGATTGCTGTAGGGGG